GCAACAAAGAATACTGATTTTTCATTCACTACAAGTTTCTTGATGAAGAATTCCAAGACAGGACCATGTGATCCTTCAGCTGCTTGTGTCTCCGAGAAAACCCCACTTCGGCTTCTTCTCCTCTCATCCACGCTTCCCAGATTTTCCACATACCAAATCCATCTATATATACACAAATGCATCACCCCACAACCCAACCAAAGTCCTCACATTCTCTCCTAGAAAGCAAATCCTCCTCCACGTTACTCTAGATCAACATTTACAAGCACCATAATACAGATTACTTACTATGGCCATCCTTCTTAATGGTATTATGAACGCTAAGAAAATTCTCCGCAGATCAAATTTGCTTTCTAACCAAGCAACTGAAGTTCCAAAAGGCCACGTTGCATTCTATGTTGGAGAGAGCCAAAAGAAAAGATTCATAGTTCCAATCTCATTCTTGAATCAGCCTTCATTCCAAGCATTGCTAAGAAAAGCTGAAGAAGAATTCGGGTTTAATCATTCGATGGGCGGTCTTACGCTTCCTTGCCGAGAAGATATCTTCGTTGACATCATTTCAGGCTTGAATTTATCATAATACAAAGAGCAGGAGTTAATTTGTTCCCAAAATTTGTACGTTATTTACTTTTAGTAGAGGCAAACGGGATGGGAAATGTCCCGGTCTCCGTAAGAGAATATACTTGTAGAAATCGGCATATATAGTTGTCTCACTTTTTCTCAATATCAATATTGAAAAATTAAAAACTTCGATCAATTATCACTGGGTTTTTATACTTTAGTCAAATTATTTCACTCACATTCTCTTCTTACATTAAGCATCATGCTTGCTAGTTAAAACCACTTTGTTCGAGACAGTACTTGACCGACTGGTCGTTCATTTTAGAGATGCTACGTCGTTGCCTTTTCGGGACGTCATTATTTAATTCAAGACTTGTCATTTCTACGGTTTTTCTTGGATTCATCATTTGTGCTTTTCTCACCACCACCCCAACAGCCAGCCACCAAACCCCCACCCCCCCCCCCCCCCCCACAAGAATTGAGAAACATCAATTATAGATACTCCTAGCCAGATTTATTGTTATTCATTCCCATAAAAGTAAAGTCTATATATATTTATTATAATGGATATTATTTTTATGCAAGGGGATACTCGCTACATCAAAAGAAAACTATAAAGACCGATTTTTTTTGGGCGGTCAAAAAATTCCATTAGAATTTAAGAGTTTTCATCTTAAATACAGTTTGCAAAAAAAGAAAAAAATAAAAAAGCTGTTGATAAAGACCGATTTTTGAATCGTTGCATCTAGACTAAATTTTCTCTATCTAAAATTCCTACAAACAAAAATCAACCATCCATCTAATCCCTGAACTATTAGGGTTACGGCACATTAATAGCATATACTATCATATTTTGGGTAAATAATGTCTTTTCTTTTTTTATTTGACCTTTTTCATTGAATAAAAAAATTTAAAATCAAGTTTTGGTATTTTGAGTGAAAAGTTTTTACATATGCTAAAAAAGTCAATTTATTTTGAAAAATAATTTCAAAAATTTTTTATGTAACAAAGTAATTTTATTTTTTTCTTAAACGTTACATATTTACAAAATAGTAAAAAAATAAAAAATAATTTATAATGATCTTAATTTTTTTCGGGCCCTAAAAAAATTATATACATGTATTTGTTTAGTCTAGATTTGATTCTTTAAATATTTACATGGTCGAATGCATAATATCACACCAAAACTTTAAAAAAAAAAATTAATTTTGAAAACCACATGCAAAAACTTTAAGAACCATGCTAAAATTATATACGTAAATTCATATAACCTTCTTAGATATTGCTGAATAATTTAAAATAATTTCACCTTATTTTTTATTTTCATATTTATTAAAAATTTTACTGTTTAAAAAATAAAAAAAATAATATCTGACTTAAAAAAATATTCATCAAAGTAAATTAAATTTTTATTAGCATATATGAAAAAAAAATTGTTCAAAATATAAAAAAATGATTTTTTAAGAAATTTTTCAAAAAAAAATAAAAGATAAAATTAATAGTACATATTTTGATACGCCATTACTCCGATAGTTAAGGGATATATATATATATATATATTCAAACCGGATGCATCCGGTTGAACCGTCGATTTCGACATTATTAACGAGTGAAATGGATATCATTCGACGAATGGGTAAGGCCCAGATTTGAATGGTCTAATATTGGCCCATAGATAGCTCAAACTGACCACACTAATCTGGCCTCGTCTATCATTAGCCTGAAATGACAAACGCTGTCGTTCCGTTCCCTTTAGGCTTATAGCCATGCTTTTGGGTTAGACAAAGTTTCATTTTTATTCCTCTTTAAGGGGATGAGATTTCCCCAATAAAGGGATCGAATTCATCATTCTCTTCTTTCATATGGTCTCAAAATTGATTTGCACAAAAATAAAGAAGACAATTTCTTTTTTGTTACTTTACCTTTTTTTAACATCTCATATTTGTAAACAAAAATATATCTTTTACCAAACACAAGACACGCACGTACTTCTCCTATTTTTCCTACATAAAAAATAACTTGCAAGATCTTGCACTCTTTAAATTTCTACATCAAAAATATAATCCTCAGCTTCTTAGCTTCTTTTCTCTCTTTAATTAACAATTCATTTTTCTTTATTCTCATATTGGGAATGCTTAATATTTATATAAATCCAATGGGATCACTTACAAGTTTTGCATCTATATCAACATCCATATCCAACTGTCCTTTTCCATATCCTTAGCTGGTCCTTTAATGGCTTTACACAATATTTATAGGGCAGATTGTTCTTCGACATGTGAAGATACGAATTTTTTCAGTCCCCTACATTTGTTGAATCGTAGGAAGACAGGACCATGTGATATATTTATGAGCTATGTCCTAAGCAGACCTCAGTCAAAGGTTCCTTGGTCACTCATTCCACACTCTGCAGGATTTTTAACATACCATTCCACCTATATAAGCATATCCACACATCCATGGCTCATACCCACAACCAAGTCTTCACATTATCTACTGATCAAGCACTACTCCCTTTAACCTGCAAGTTTTTGTTCTACGTAAATACATCAAGAAAGATATAATGGCTATTCGTTTGCCTGGTATACAAAGTCTCTGTAGATCTGTTTTGGCAGCAAATAAAGCTTCATCAAAGTATTTGGATGTACCGAAGGGTTTCCTAGCTGTTTATGTAGGGGAAATTGAGAAGAAGAGATTTGTGGTTCCAGTTACCTACTTGAACCAGCCTTCATTTCAAGATCTAGCTGTTTATGTAGGGGAAATTGATCATCCGATGGGTGGTTTGACGATACCCTGCGCTGAAGATACTTTCCTTGATGTCACTTCTAGCTTGAGTAGATAATAAGAGAGGATGTTAAAAGTAATTTTTGAAAGAAAAAAAAACAATTTTTGTTGGCAGGATTTGCCAATTATATTCGATGTAAATATTTTTTTTGGCTGACTTTGCCAAATGAGAAATATTTTTACACATATTATTGTTGGCTCCCTTCTTACATTTTTTCTTCATGTTAAAGATTTCCGAATGACCAAATTGCATTAGAATTTTTTATTTTTATTTATTTATTTATTTTTTTTGGGCTTCCTTCTCTCACGTAACTTGCTCATGCTAGATCTGTATAAGTTTTGTTTTTTTCACCTCTTATTCATAAATGAAAATTGGAACTCATTCTGAGTAGCCAATCAAAAGTTATGATATGGGTTTTTCGAGTCCATCGTGATAAATTTCTCTTGAATGGCACACAAAATCTTACCTTCGTTGATCATACAACGGCATAAATGGGTCTAACTTTGCCAAATTTTATTTCTGGGATGGCTGGGCTTTGGGGGCTCGACACATCGGTTGGGAAAACAAGGTTTGACATCTGTACTAGGGCTGAGATTAACTATGGTACCTTCCTAATGCCCATGGGTCGGGTATTCCAACTGCCAATTTGACACTTCCATTCAATTTCAATCTAATCGTAATTTCATTTCCATAATCGGGCAAAATGAAGAGAATCCATGACTCAAGACTGATAATTAAAGAAATTAAAATCTTCCATTTATTGATGTCAACTAGGTGCTTTAATTATTTGCAGAGAAAAAATCGATTCAGCATTGAATATTGAGACGAAATTAATTACTTCTGTCTAATTGGACGGCCATGTGTGGGGGAAAAAAATTCTTGTTTAATTAGTAAAAAAGGAAAGAAAAGATTTATTGAGGAAAGTGAATTGGTAAGAAAAAAAAAGGATTCATTTTAAAATACAATTAACATTAATTGTAATGAGGATGAAGTTTCCTCCAACCAGTTGAATTCATTTATCGAAAAAACATCAATAATTGGATAGGTATTTTATGCATTAAATAAATAAATATTATTATTAATTTTTATAAATGCAATTGTTGATATTTTTTGATAAATAAATTTTATAAAACCATCATGCATTATTAGCATTACTCAACTTTTAAAATGAAAAACAAATGAACCTGTATATATGTACATTTGAATTTATGACTAACCAGATGAATTTACGTGACAAATACAGTAGTTGGGAATGGGAATAGCTAATTAAAGAAACTTCGATTCTCTTGTGATCTGCTATATGAAGATTCATTGATGTGAAAAATATTCAGGATTTTATTTTCATAATAATTAAATCAACTTCATTTCCTTATATAGGTTAATATATGTCCGCCGAAATGCATTCTCACAAAAAAAAATAATAATAATAAAATAAATAATAGGACAAGAAGTTGCATGCAATGCATGATATCTAACAAGATTTTCTTCTATTTCTTAATTAATTACACTATTAAGTAGCAATTATGTAAAGATGAAGCAAAGCCGTAATCCTATGTATACATATAAAACCTAAGGAGTCCTCCATTGAAGTTTCATAACTTTTCTTCAAATTATCATCTGCCTCTGCCTCTTCCAAAACACCACAGTAATTCCAATGGCTGTGTCGGTAAGTCTTCTCTCTAGCTAGCTACTTGTGTACCTATTTGTATAATACATGTCACTTCTTCTTTTTTAATGAAAAAATAAATGTTTTGTTCTTGCCTTAATTAATTTATTAATTCATCTTTTTTAACTTTGATAACTTGTTTATGATCTATTCTTTCGGTTGGTCCTTTTCTTCTTTTGCAGACTTTCGCCGTGAAAGTGCATATAAGTTGCTGCTCAAAATGTCCTCTTAGAGCCAAGGAAAAGTTGCAGAAAATCAAAGGTTTATTATTATTACTATTATTATTATGCAGTTTCGTTGCTTTTTCTACGTGACTCGTAATAATATTTTTGCAAGTGTTCCCTTCTTAAAAATTGTCTCTAATTGCCAGGGGTAAATTCCATCACCATCGACACAGCAAAAGACTTGGTGACGGTTTCGGGCAGTGTAGAGCCTAATGTAATTGTAGAGAAGTTTGCTAAATGGGGCAAAAAGGCAGAACTTATGTCCTTCCAAAAAGAACCTATGGAGAGTGATGACGACGATGACGACAATGATAACGATAAAACTAATTTGAATAAAAATTCTTACAGGAAGAGTGATTCAGATCTCTGTCCAGTGCCCGCCAACAGGTTTCTACATGCTAACCCCAATATGTACGTTCCTAGAGACAGCAAGAAGGGTACTTGGTGTTGGCTTGGTAAAAAAATATTTGGAAACAAACCATGGGCTAGGTCTCTGGCTGCAAAAGCTCCTGCTAACAATAAGTGGCAGGCTCCAAGAATACCTATGAATGAATTTGGATCATCAAATCCAATTTATGGAAACCAATTAGCTATGCATCAATTTGCGTCACCACAGCCATTTTATGGTAGCCAATCATCTATGAATCAATTTGGATCCTCAAGACCATTTAATGGAAGCCGATTCAATAGACCATCGATGTATGGAAGACCAAGGCCAGTACCTCCACATCCAATGTATATGCCAAGGCCACCAATGTTGCTCCCATATGGGGGATACAACCAGGAGCGGCAGCTGCACCGTCGCTTCAGGTTAATCCCATGATCCGCTACACTAGTTATGACGACAATTATCGTCATTGGTGAGCTGCATAACATGCAAGGCGTATAAACACAAGACTTTTTCAGCGGGGAGTCGTCATGTACATGGTGACTAGTGCAAAATGATCTTATTTTTAATGGCACTACTTCGTTATTTTTTCATAGAGTAGCGCATTAAGCTAGATATTTGATGATCATTTTGTTTATTTCAAAAATAAATATGTCCTTTAGTTCTGATGGAATTAAGAAGTAGATAAATTCATCAAAAACTCGTCAATTTCGTTCTCAGTTCAACTTTCATGTTCAGCTTCCATGAATGTATTCATTAGGAACTCGTCAATTGGATTCTCAGGTCAGTTTTCATGTTCAGCTTTCATGAATGTTTTGGTTTAGCTTAGCTATATTTTTAGTAGGATGTCACTATATTGTCTATTTTCTTTGTATTTAGAACTCATTTTTTAGCTTCTTTTTTTTTTTTTTTCTGGCTCTTTCCTGCATTTTAATATATTGATCGAGTTTGATTAAAAAAAAGAAAGAGCAAACACAACCTGAAGTTCATATGTGGTCCGAAGGATTACTATATTTTTATTGTTTGCTAATGCAATCTGATTAGTCAATTGCTCATTTTCGTTCTTTAGATTTATGTTCTATGAGAGATAAGTACGCTGGTTACTTTTATTCCAGCTGAATATTCTCTTATTGGCAATTTCAGTCTTAGTGTTCATTTTCGAAAAAGAATCATAAGAATCTTGTTCTGAGGTATTCATATTATTCTAAGTTGAGACACGAGATTTTTCTGCATAAATTTCAATTGGGAATTGAATGATTAAACAAAAGGTTAATATATTTTAGCCTTGGTGAAAAGGGTTGAATGTGAGACCTCTTTGGAGAGTGGGACATAGGTGACAGCTTATCTACAGGCTCATTTCCCTCAACCTAGCTACTAATTCTTTGGTTAAAAAGTATGCTTTGCTGTTGATGTATTCTGTTTTGGACTTACTCTGACAGATTGAAAGCATATTTCCATCTGGATTAGATCACAATATATACCATATACTCCAACTTATAGCAATTCAACCTCTTCCATTTGCATATTTCCATCTGAACCAAGTAGGTTGAGAACATCTACTGAAAGTCCCAGGCATGAACCTAATCCAAGTTAACTTAGATTTACATCTACAATATCAGCATTGACGTCCAACTGTCCCTCATAATCTTTAACTTCTCATCCATAGGCTTGTCTGTGTTGTTGTAGGGCATATGTTGTTTTCCAACATATAGACCCAATATGATGGATATGAATCTTCCAAAGTCCCCTATATTTGTTGATCAGATAGAAGACAAGACCATGTGATACCCTTGTGAGCTAGCTATTTCTAAATTCCAGACCCCATCCAATTGCTTCTTGTCCACTAACTCCAAATTCCTGAGAATTTTCAACATACCCTTTCGTTCACCTATATGTACCATTCAAATATTTGGCTCGTAACCATCCAAGTCTTCGCATTCTCTACTCATATTTCTTGAACAACAAATCTGCAAGTTTTTCTTCTACCTTAGATACATCAACAAAGTTAATGGCTATTCTTTTGCCTGGCGTTCTGACTAAACAAAGTATCCGTCGGTCTGTTTCTGGGGCCAAGAAAGCTGCTTCAAGCTCTTTAGATATTCCAAAAGGTTTCCTAGCAGTTTACGTTGGAGAAGCTGAGAAGAAGTGATTTGTGGTTCCAGTATCCTATTTGAACCAGCCTTCATTTCAAGATTTGCTAAATAAAGCTGAAGAGGAGTTCGGTTTCGATCATCCAATGGGTGGATTAACAATTCCCTGCGCAGAAGATACTTTCATTGATGTAACGTCTAGCTTGAGTAGATTATAAGAGGCAATTAAACTAATCACAGAAAAACAATTTTTTTTAGAGGAATTGCCGGTCGATTCAGTGTAAATATATTTAACTAAATATCGCGAAATGAGAAATATTTTTATACAGAAGTTGTTGCTTTCCCTCTCAAATTCTGCAATTCTCTCTGACATAGTCAAAGTTCTATTTAGTTTACCTTTTCCACTCTTGATGAGAAAGCTTGTTCCTAATAGCTAATTAAATTGCAGTGTACCCTATTTCCAGTAGAATATCCTTACAGTTGTTCGGTTAATTAACTTGTCTGAGGCTTTCGATTAAAACGAATATATCTGTTCAAAGAGGAAAGACTTAAAATGTTCTGCTTTAATTTCAAGTTGTATGAAAGATCAATCTGAACAATAAAGATCCTTCACTCCTTCACACATGAAAAATCAAGTTCGGTTTGAATCATATAAAAGAGAAGTTAATTATGGAATTCTTTACCATTCTTCTTTTCCACAGTACACAAATCACAAGGAAATTCTTGCTTGTCCAGCCTCAAAAAGTTTATCCACTTCTACCATCAGCAGCTTTCTCCCTGTGCAGTTTCTTAATCTCATCCGTGTAACTTGAACCCTGATTTTTCTTTTTAAGAGTTGTTAGACATCTCAAGAAGGTCATGCATTGTAAAAGGCATAATGAATTATCTGGCAAGACAAAATCAATCGAAAGCTTTACATTAAATTGAGCATACTCTAACATATAGACTTGTAAAATTAATTATAGTCCACATGATATGAATATTTAGAATATAAAATTAATTGTGATCCACATGATCCTAATGCAACACATTATTTCCGACTGATTACTAACCTTCTATATTATTGCTTTTCGCAAACACAATCCATGGCTAGATCCTAATCCTACATCTAGATGTCTTGTCTATTCTGCCTAAGTACATGCCACATTAGATGTTTCGACATGTTTCTCGTCAGAGAGTCATTTAGGTTGAGAAACTCTAGTAATCCTGTCTTGACCATGTACCTAATCCAAGCATTAATACTTAGAAAAAATTTATGTCAATAATGATATCGAACTGTCCCTTTACAGTCTTTAGCGTCTCCTCCAGAGGCTTATCTGTGTAGTTGTAGGGTATATGTTGTTTTCCAACATATAGACCCAATATGACTGATATGAATTTTCCAAATCCCGTATATTTGTTGAGTAGTTGGAAGACAGGACCATGTGATACCTTCATGAGCTATGTCATTAGCAGACCCTAGCCAATGTTTCTTGGCCGCTAACTCCAGATATGGAAGGATTCTCAACATGCCATTTTCACATATATATACATGTCCACACTGCTTGGCTCACAACCAACCAAATTCTCTACTGATTCCTTTTTCCTTTGAACAACGAACCTACTAAGTTTTACTTTAGCGATTCATCAAAAAAGAAACAATGGCTATTCGTTTGCCTGTTGTTCTTGCCAAGAAAAGTCTCCGCCAATCTTCATCGAAGTCTTTAGATGTACCGAGAGGTTTCCTAGCGGTATACGTTGAGGAAGCTGACAAGAAGAGGTTTCTGGTTCCAGTTTCCTATTTGAACCAGCCTTCATTTCAGGATTTGCTATGTAAAGCTGAGGAGGAGTTCGGTTTTGATCATCCAATGGGTGGTTTAACAATTCCCTGCAACGAAGATACTTTCCTTGATGTCACTTCTAGCTTGAGTAGATCATAAGAACTTCTATTCTTTTCTTTTCTTATAAGAACTAATCACAGGAATACAATTTTGTAAAGTAGGAATTGTCTATTCAAAGTAAATATTTTCAAATTTCACTGGATGAGAAAGATTTTTACTCGTAATTGTTGTTTTTCTGTGCAAATTTGCAGTGCTATCATCATAGTCAATGTTCTTCATACTTTTAGCTTCCTCCTGCTATTAAATTGCATTATTATACTATCTACACCATATAAACGAACAGCCATGGTTAGCTTTCTCCGTTATCTCTTTTGAAGAATTTGAATTTAATCATCCAGTGGACTGTCTTACACTTCCTTTGCAGAGAAGGTATCTTCAGTCTTCACTAATATCACACCCAGTTGAATGGATCGTATACACCAACCTCAATTTGACAATTCCAGAAAATTTTGTAAATTCATGTACAACGTATAGAGTAACTTCTAGTAGAGACAGAGATGGGTTGGGAAACGTCCACCCACAGGAAAATTACTGATAGATTATTAGTACATATTTTCACACTTCCGGTAAAATCTTCAAATTAAAAATATTTGGCTATTTGGCTCAGGTTTTGCTTGACTTCATATTCCCAGATAATCTTAGTTCATATTTGCCTTACAGTAAAGAGTGAGTGATATTTTGGAATCGAAATTTCCTGTTATTTATTATCACGGTACTTTCAATAAGCATTGTATACTTGATCAGAAGAAATGGATAATTGAAGGCGTCTGGGTTGATGCCCTTGTTGCTGTCTTCCGGGAAAATATCAAGCACTACAGGAATCGTGATTGGGATAAACTAGGAAGATCCTTCTTGACCCTCTAGCCACCAATCATATACCAATCGGTCACGGATTTGACACATCACATTCCGACGGATAAATAAATCCATCTTCATAAAATCTATATTTTGACTCAACCTTCGGGTGTTTCAGGTTCTCTGTACTTTTAGGCACCATAAACTGATTAAAATCCATAACGTAGGGATTAAACGCAGTCTGCACACAATCTACCTTGAATTTGCGGATACCAGTTTGGACACATTTAGATGGTGCTACCGCAACAATAAACTCTGAGAGTTTGACTCTACCAGTTCCAGGTGTGAAGTACACTTATGACTATTTATTTATTAATCTACATGTTTCTCATATTTGATTTAATCTGTTTCCTAAGTGTAACCGGAGAACTCATTTGGAACCTTTTGATTGGCATCTTGGGAGGAAACCCTGGTGTTGTCTTTAATATTTTGCTTCTGATGCAGGTAGTTTCTTATCAGTCAATAGAAAATGGAGCAGTGGCGACAAATTAACCCTTCAGCTTCCCATTAGTTTGAGAACAGAGGCCATTAAAGGTAATTTCATTGGATTCTTGCTTGTAAATACTTTTGTAATTTCTATAATAATGGTGGACATATAACTAACAAAATCCTCTGAACAACATTCAGAGGACAGGCACGAGTATGCTTCTATTCAGGCAATACTTTATGGTCCTTACCTACTTGCTGGTCATACCAGTGGAGACTGGAACCTCAAAGCTGGATCTGCTAGTTCTCTTTCAGACTCGATAACACCAATCCCTGCCTCTTATAATGGACAGCTCATAACTTTTTCCCAAGAGTCTGGGAATTCAACTTTTGTGCTAACAAATTCAAACCAATCAATTACAATGGAACAATTCCCTAAATCTGGCACCGACGCTTCTCTTCAAGCCACATTCAGACTTGTCTTTACGAACTCTTCTTCCTCCACAGTCTCCAGAAGTAAAGATGTTATCGGCAAATCCGTCATGCTTGAACCATTTAATCTTCCTGGAATGCTTTTAGTGCATCAAGGAAAAGACAGCAGCCTTGCAGTCACAAATTCTGCCGACGATGCTGGCTCTTCGATCTTCCACATAGTTTCTGGATTGGATGGAAAAGCTGGAACTATATCTCTGGAATCAGGAAGCCAGAAGGGCTGCTATATGCACAGTGGTGTGGATCACAAATCAGGTCAAAGCATGAAGCTTAGCTGCAAATCAGGGTCATCAGCTACTGGATTTAATCAGGGAGCCAGCTTTGTAATGAACAAAGGACTAAGTGAATATCATCCAATCAGCTTTGTGGCAAAGGGGGACAAAAGGAATTTTCTTCTTGCACCGTTACATAGTTTGAGAGATGAATTTTATACTATTTATTTTAACATTCAAGCTGAATAAGTGTGGATCGAGCTATTGATTCCATGATTGGACAAGACAGTACTGCTTGTATTTCTTAGCAAAAGCTGGTAGCTGTTAATCCCTCTATTCCACAGAAATCGTCAACTTGTTTTATCTTATAAAAAATAAAAAAATTAATCTTAAGGTATTTTTTAAGTCCTTAAATTATAAACATTGATAAAATTGAATAAAATTAAAATTTTATAATTATTAATTTATTGTTGATTATAAAAGACTAAAAACAAGCATAGTCTATTACTATAATACTATTGTAGTCTATTACGTAAAAAGGAAATTGGCACAGGATACCGTTCTGCTTTTCCATCTTAGGAATTCGATCGCGTCAAAGATATAGCTAGTATATGTTTGGGCTCCATATTACACTATTCATAAGGTAGATTCCACTTACAGTTGTTTCACGAGAAGCAATTATGAATTTTACTTCTTGCTGAAGTAACATGATATGGTTCAACCTGTCTGCTTTAACATGATATGGCCCATAATACTCGAGCTCTTAAAATGGAAGTTTTTCCTGCAAACAAAAATGATTATTGGTGCTTGAATTTGTGTTAAGCTCTACTTTTGCCCACAGGAAGATGATCTATTTGATTTCCATGCCATATCCCTATTGTTATTGGATCACAATTACGGTACAAAATCACCGTTGATCCAGTTCATAAGGTAAACTTCTTCTTATGGATTATATATCATTTAGGTTTCCATATTCATCAAAACCTGGTATCATTTTAATTGTGAATGTCAAATATGGCAGGAAAATGCAACATTCTTCGTGGAGACTGTTAACTCTTCTCATACCTTTGCAACTGGTGGCTCGACAATTGATGAGCACTGGTACTGAAGACTGACATAGGCACCATTTTGAGTTCGAATTTAGTCTCTTCAGGAATAGGCTTGTTGCTCCCATTTCTTTCCAATTTTCTGTCACAAACTTTTTACTTGTTCCCATCTTTGAATGCATGCATTCCACTTACCTATCAGTGGCTCATTTTGAACTCTTTCTTGATTCTTCATTGGTTTATCCCCTTGCCTCATCCTTTGTGCAGGAAAGAACCAAAGCGATTGGCAAGCTACCTAATCCCTGAGAAAGAAGAATCATGTTCAACTTATAATATGCTGCAGGTATTCCAATCTCTCTGTCTCTTTCTATTCACCGAATGAAAGAACCAAAGCGATTGGCAAGCTACCCAAGATCATATGTTTCTCATTCCGTAATTAAAACCCTGCTAAAGCTTTAAGCACATGTACTCGAATTTTGCAGATCTCCAGCAACTTGTTTAGATGGACCAAAGAAGTGGTGTATGCAGATCATTACGAGCGTGCGCTGACAAACGGTATACTGAGTATCCAGGGAGGAACAGAACCTGGAGTCATGCTTTACATGCTTCCACTAGCTCCTGGAAATAGCAAAGCCTTTAGTCATCATGGATGGGGAACCCCATTTGACAGTTTTTGGTGCTGCTATGGTACAGGTGTGCGAGTCATTTCCCATTTACTGAATCTTCGCTTCAAATTCCTGATTGGATTCTTGGAGGCTGATAATTTGCTGCTCTTAGTTCCAATCAATGGCCAAGCACTTGATCTTCATTTCATTTACAGTTGTTTTTGTTTTTTCTTTCCTGTCGTCAATGTAGGAATTGTGTCATTCTCAAAATTGGGAGATTCCATATACTTCGAAGAGGAAGGAGAAGTCCCAGGTCTTTACATAATCCAGATATATCAAGCTCTTTTACATGGAAATCAGGACAGATTTTGATTAATCAAAAAGTTGATCCTGTTGTTTCTTGGGATCCTTACCTTCGAGTGACAATAACGTTTCCTTTAGACATGGTATGTTATACAAAAAAAATTGTCTCATAAGGATCGGAACATTTCAAGGTTTTCTTTCTGTTTCAGCTGTTCTGTAATAAAAACTCTGCTGAACATGGAGAAACAAACAATGCAACCCCTTGGAACCGTGCTAATTCTCCTCATGAAATTGCACTACTTTCATGTGACAGTAATTAATGTAATTCAGTTTGAGAGAGGCTTCAGCTGAATTAATTGCCAAAAAAGAAGCTGAAAAATAGCAACCTTTCTTCATTCTGGGTCTAATAATGCAGTGAGACGAGCTGGTTTCATAGAATATTTCATCTCCATCGATTTCTTCCCGCTGCCTTCCATCTACAAATCTGGTTTCTTCTCTACTTTTCTTTTTCAAGCCGTTGTTTCTTTCTTAGAAATCCTAAGTGTTGGGTATTTATTTCTGCAAATATATATATATATATATTACATTTCATTTCCTCGCAGCCAACTCTTTGGATCATGGGCCGGCTATTGGCTGATAAACTTCCCGAGAAGAGGACAAGCTATCCAACCAGCCCTGTTCTAAAACCTTCTCCCTCTTTCATTAGAAACATCCTCTGGCCTAAAAAAGATTTATTCTGTAGGAACGTAATTGAAAATAAAATTTACTTTGGATTAGATAACAATATCATATTCCACTTTTTCTATCCTTCATCTACCTTTATAATTTTATCTGATCCAGTTGTAAACTTTTAATCCATGGCTACATGCTACATTCGAGTAGGTGCCACAAATTAGATGTCCCAGCATGTTTTCCTTTAGGTTGTGAACATCTACTAATTGTCTTGAGCGTGTACTGAACCCAGCGGTCGCTTAGTTTTAGATCTATGTCGACTTTGATATCCAACCGTCCCTTTACAATCTTTAACTTCCTCCTCCATAGGCCTATCTGTGTTGTCGTAGGGCATATGTTGTTTTCCAACATATAGACCCAACAACATGACGGATATGAATTTTCCAAGACCCTTATATTTGTTAGAGTAGTTGGAAGACAAGACCATGTGATACCTTCATCATCTATGTCTTAAGCAGACCCCAGACAATGTTTCTTGGCCACTAACTTCAGATTTCTGAGGATTTTCAACGTTCCATTTCACCTATATATACATGCCCACACACTTGGCTAACAAACAACCAAGTCTGCACATTCTCTACTGATTCCTTTTCCTCCGGAAAAACAAACCTGCTAAGTTTTATTTTATAGATACATCAAGAAAAACAGATGGCTATTCGTTTGCCTGGTGTTCTTGGCAAGAAAACTATCCGCCAATCTTCATCGAAGTCTTTAGATGTACCGAAAGGTTTCCTAGCAGTTTATGTTGGGGAAGCTGACAAGAAGAGATTTCTGGTTCCAATTTCCTATTTGAACCAGCCTTCATTTCAAGATTTGCTATGTAAAGCTGAGGAGGAGTTCGGTTTTGATCATCCAATGGGTGGTTTGACGATTCCCTGTCCCGAAGAGGCTTTCCTTGTTGTCACTTCTAGCTTGAATAGATTATAAAAACAAATCACAGAAAAACAATTTTGTAAGGCGGGAATTGTCAATTCATTGTAATTATTTTCAAATGAAATCAAATTTTCACTGATCGAACGAGAGAGATTTTACTCACAACCCTTGTGCTTCTTACCAAATTTGCAGTCCTATCATCATAGTCAATGCTCTACATGCACTTAGCTTCCTCCTGATATTAAATTGCAAATTTATACCATGTCCACAATTAATTCATTGGAATTGCCATAAATTGTGGCATGCACAATCTAAATGGAGCATCTAAATCATTGGCTCTCTTCATTTCTCACTAAATTCATGACTCGAACACTAATTTTGTTCTAAATGGTTAACAGTAACAGGGGATTTTCTTCCTTGATGGACTTGGGAGATGAACGTAGATAATCTATGCTCATATTGGAGATCATGTAGCTTTATGTTCTTAGTATCCTCGCCTTATCTTCAACTAATTCTTAAATGAATGCATTGCCAATGTTCAGAAAAATTAGACTCTTAGCTCATTCAAATTAATATGCTGATTGTTAGAGAAATAGAGATGTTCTGCTTAACTTTAAGTTGTATAAAATATTAATTTTACATGATAAACATGCGGCATTCAATGATTAATCATTGTATAAATCATTGAATGCCGCATGTTTAGTCAGACAAATTAATTTTGCAGCTTAATGAACAATCAAGATAGTTTTGTATTATAAAAGAAGAGATTTTGGTTGGCACTTTATTGGAAATTCTGGTCCTCATGACTAAAATATTATCTTAGAAATAGAAACAAAGTTAGATGGCTGATGGCTCTAGTCTGTCCTCTTCTCGCAGTGGTCATTCTCTTTTTATGAACCAGAGGTTTCTAATGTCAATGTCTATTCATTTTGAAGTGGGTCCTTGTGTGTTTTCTCCTCAATTTCTTAAGCAAATTGTTCTCTAACTGATACACGGCTTCAATCACTACCGAGCTATTGATGATCTCAGTTGGAAGACCGGACCATGTGATCCTTCAGCTACCTGTGTCCCTGAGAAATCCCCTGCCTGAAAGCCTCTTCACCCGTCATCCACAGTCACAAGATTTTTTGCATAAAGTTTATACATATAAATATATAAATTCTGATGACGTAGGCTAATTGTCTGATAGAGACTCTAATCCAATGGGGTCACTTGGTTTTGCATTATATCAGCATTGATATCCAACTGTCCATTTCCAATCTTTAGCTGGTCCGCCATTGGCCACACTCTGTAGATGTAGGGCAAGTTGTTTTTTGTACAAATTCTCAGTCATCTATATTCAATGAGTACTTGGAAGACAGAACCATGTGATACTTCATGAACTACGTCTTCAGGAAAGCCAAGCTACCACAAACTCCAGATTTTGGAGCATCCTTTCATCTATATATTACGTTCTTGGGTCACAACCAAACCGTCTCAACTCAAACCTTCACATTCTCCATTTACTGAGATCTTTATCTTGAACGACAAACCTCTCAATTTCTTTCACCTTCATTTTGTTCTAAACAAACAAATTGACAGATTGACCACGGCCATTCGTTTGACTGGAAGTCTTGTCAAGCAAATTCTCCACCGATCTTCAAAATCTTTTAATGTGCCAAAAGGTTTTTTAGCAGTATATGTTGGGGAGACCGAAAAGAAGCGATTTGTGGTTCCAGTATCCTATCTGAACCAACCTATATTTCAAGATTTGCTAAGCAAAGCAGAAGAGGAGTTTGGTTTTGATCATCCAATGGGTGGTCTGACAATCCCTTGCAGAGAAGACATCTTTATTCATGTCACCTCATGTTTGAGATCTAGCACTTTAAACCATTCAAAAAGCCACTTTAAACCATTCACTGAAGAATAAATACAATTTTTGCTTTGCAAGAGTTGCAACATAATTTTTTTCTCTTTTTTAAGCCGAAAAGAATTATGAGAAGGATAAAAAAATCCCTCGTGTAAGAAAAATTACTGAATGGAAACTGTTTTTTCCTGGCATGATCAGTGCTCAAGTTATCTTCTTTTTTCTAACAGTGCAACTTTGCTCTCAAAATCAATTTGGAATTACTCAAATTAATTGATGTGGAAAATCCATTGATAAATTCAAATCGAAACAATTAAACCAACAACTAGAAAGAGGTTTTTTTTTTTTCTTGGCCTGGGAAGGCAAGGTGTGATTGGTCACTGAATCTTAAGTTGGGATCTATCTTATGTTGTTAAATGCTAGGTTCGGTGTACGGCCAGTGAGGAAATTAATGAAAGAAAGAGAGGTAAGGAAAGATGCTGGATTTGGTTGGATTGAGGTCACAATTTGAATTAGTTCGGCTTTGTTCTGAAAGATTATATACAGGAATGATGGTTCAATTTCACTGGATAGACGAAATTCTGTATCAGATTTTAAGCTTGCCTCTTTGGAACTGAGGTGGTCAGGACTCATCGGCATCATTTCAGTGCTAGGCATTGGTATACATTGCCCTTCTCTGTCAGCATCAATCTGACATGTTCATATTTGTATCCTCAGAGTTTCTTCTCGTAATTCATGCAAGGCAATTCAAGACTGAAATTTGATCCATAATACATGCTAGGCAAAAATTTCAAGATTCCTGGTTCCTTCACAGTATCACAGTAAGTAAAAGGTTCATGATTGACGATTCCAATCAACTTCAAAAATTTATGTTAAATCAAGACAATTCTTCTTTGTGGAGAAAACATTTTAGAAATACAAATAGTCTGCAATTTTGAGCAGGCTATACCTTTCAGTTCCATTAAGACAGACTTTTGGAATATCAGGGTCTATTTTTTTTGTTATCTGTATGCCGTGTTTCACCAGCGGGAAAAAGCTTCCGAGTTGACTTTGTCAAAGTAGGTTTTGCCTCTTCCACAGGTCTTTCTTCCTTCGTTTTTCAAAATCATGCCATTATTAGTTGTCCCAAGCATGTCCTTGATCCCAGCATGACTAAATTTCGATGGCACGAGCTAATTGTCTCAAACATGTCCATAATCCCATTGTGTCATTTAGTTTTGCATCTATGTCAGCATTGACTTCCAACTGTTCATTTCCAATATTTAGCTGATCTTTCAATGCCCTAACTCTGTACTTGAATGGTGTTTTTAGACGAATTATCTCAATCCACCAAACTTGCTGAGTAGTTGGAAGACAGGACCATGTGATAGTTCATGACCTATGTCTTAAGCAAACCCCAGCTAATGATTCTTGGCCACTAACTCTTGATTTTGGAGAGATCGTTTCATCTATATAAGCTTACTTTGTTTCAGACCAAATCACCCAAACTCAATCCCCTTCACATTCTCTTCTGAGATCTTTTCCTTGAACAACAAACCTCTCAAGTTCTTTCCTTCGTTTTCTTCAAAATACCTAAATCAACAAGTAGACCATGGCAATTCGTTTGACTGGAAGCGTTGCCAAGCAAATTCTCCGCCGATCTTCAAAATCTTTTGATGTGCCAAAAGGTTTCTTAGCAGTATATGTTGGGGAGACCGAAATGAAGAGATTTGTGGTTCCAGTATCCTATCTGAACCAGCCTATGTTTCAAAATTTGCTAAGTAAAGCTGAAGATGAGTTTGGTTTTGATCATCCAACGGGTGGTTTGACAATTCCTTGTAGAGAAGATACTTTCATCAATGTCACTTCAAGCTTGAGTAGATCACGAGAGAATTCAGTTAAGCCATTCACTGAAGAGTGAATATCCTTTTTACTTTTAGGAAATGCAATTGAATGTAAATAATTTTGTCCCCTTTTTTTAGCTGAAAGGCTTTATGAGAAGGATTGGAAAAAATCCTCATATAAGAAACATTGCAGAAAAGTCACAGTAACTTCTTTTGAAAAAAAATCCTCATGCAAGATCAAGTTTCCCTTCATATTCAATTGAATTGCATTCCCCCTTTAAACATGACAAGTGAAATACCAAAATCATTAATTCAAAGCGAAGCAATATTGGAACAAGACAGACTGTTTTTTCCTTTTTTGCTTTTCTTAGTCAGTACTGGCAGGTTGTGATTGACGATGAACACAGCAAACTCACCTCAATAACATAGAGTTGTAGAGATTATCATTTTAACTGTCATGGAACATGGTTTGATAAAAATTGTATCTGATTTTAGTGCCAAAAGGTTCTAACAATTGTTTACTTTTGTTGCTGCATCAAACACCTATACCCGTTAGAATAAACTCAACATTCACTACAAGTCTACAACAAATAGTGATTGGTTGTGTCGTACAATTCTTGCACAATTCATCCCAAATTCACTAACAATAGAAACCCACTACCCTTCAATGTTCTAATATCTACTTTTTCGTCGAAATGGTTTTCCTTTTTACGCATAAAAAGACTGTACCTTAGATACTCATGCATTGTGTATAGCTCGTTAGTTAGTAGTTCCATCTGGTGTTTAAAAATCTGAATTTTGGTAAACAGATGCGTAAACATATAGCCAAATCAGGCTCGTTATCTAGTGTGTTTGTGAGCAGTTCTTTGATTAATTTCTATGCAAAATTGTCGTTTTTTTTTAATGACGCAGCAATGGTGTGATCATTTTACGCTATCAGCTGTGCTACTGGCATGTGCAAGCTGGCTATCTGCAATTGAACTAGGGAAGCAAGCGCAGGCTTATATGACTAATTAAAGTATAAGATGAGGATAAATTAAGATGTGTTTTCGCAGAGTTCATTGATCGAAACGCATGGTAAGAGTGGTTTTGTAGTGAAGGCTTTGCGAGTTTTCAACTTGGCAGGATGTAGACCGAGAGGGGAAGAGAAATAAGGATGTTGTTTTGTGGGCTTCAATGCATGTGTACATGGTAGAAATGGGTGCTTATTACATAATTTTAAATAATTACCATTATGTTATATAACAATCATTATGTAATGATTTCAAAATATTTCGTTATGGTTATTTTAATAATATAATAAATCGAAATCTATGATAACAAGTATGACCATTCGAGATTTAAAACTATAGTGCTTAATGAGGTGAGAGAATTGCTTAAAGAGAAGTAAAGAGAAAGGACTAAACCAGATGGTGTGGCATTTTTGACAGTCATCGCAGCTTGTACTCACACTGGCCAAGTTAAATATTCCAGGACCAGAGCACTATAGTTGTGTAGTTGATTTTACTTCGTAGGTTCTGGTGAGCTGAATAAAGCATGGAAACTGGTGAATGAGATGCTTACCATAGGTCATGAGAATTCAAGTCTTTTCCTTGCGAGGAACATCGATCGGAATATCAAGTTGAGTAAACTCAAAGGGCACTTGATTTGGAGCCTCGTAGTGTTGTGATCTATGTTATGCTATCAAATTTATATGATAAATTTAAAGTAAATCCTAAAAAAATTTCTTTTCATAGTCAGAAAATCCTCGAGCCAGCCACTGGACTAATATTTATTTTCTTTCTCGTTAACATTAAGACATTTTTTTAATAAATATTAAGATTTTATATTAAGTAAATTTATTTTGAGATCTTGTTCAGAATCGGACAGATCCCATTCTCATTTTACATCTACGATCCAACAGAACCAAACATGACCTAAAAAATCAGATACACTGCATTCGCTTACAGTTTTAGCACAGTACTAAGCCCAATGGCACCAGGCCCACGACTATAAGCAATGGGCTAATTTCAAGTTTCCATACAAAATGTCTCCTCGATTGACATAATTGCCCCTCATTAACATCACACCTCTCCCTCTGATTGGCGTAGTACAAAGCATTATTTAACATCTGCCGTAGGCAATCTAGTTTCTTTGACCCAATTTGTTACTGTAATTTAGCAGAAACTAAAACCCTAATTTTTATTGAATCAACAACACCAATGTTTATCTAACAGGAAGGTGGTGTTATAAGGGCATGACAAATAGTTCATCATCATCAAAAACGAACGGACAAGATTATCCTGTTGATATAAGTGGACTCACACCCAAATTACAGAGAATCAAAATGAGCAAACCTGAAGAGAACCCTGAAAAGAAGGTATAATCTTCTTCTTTTTTTTTCTAATTTTAACAACTACCCACCTCTTAAATCAGTAAAATAATGTAGTCCAGATGCTAAAAATTGCTTTTTTGATGCAGTTCTTTAGTAACCCTATTGAAAGACTGTTTTTTATTTCATAATTAGGGTTTATGGGGTTTTTGTAATGATTGAATGTGAATTCTTTTTTGTTTTAACTTTGATTTGGAGAGTTATTCTTACTGGAATTACTAAAATAATTGTGCCCAGAAAGCTGAAACTTGTTATGAAAGCCGTTTATTAAAACTCCTTAAAAACATCTGTTATTTTAATGATTGGTTTATTGGTGGTGTGGATAGGATTTCTTAGTTTATCTTATTGCGGATTTGAAATGAATGGTTGCATATTGTTGAATTCATGAAGTAATGTTAGTCAGAAACTAAAGACTGTTCTTTTCAATCTCAGTCTTAAAACTATTGTTCTATGTCAACTGCGTGTTATATGTTAATAAACTTTGGGTAATTTAAGTTAGTAGTATTTGATTTTAATTCATACTAGAATTGTTTCCTAATACTTGTAATAAGAAACTAGGAATCATGAAGCATTGTTTCTTGCTGCATTACTTTCTTCGTTTTATGGGTTTTGGATTTGGCACAGATTTTGAATAAGAAGCTCAAAGATGTTGAAATCAGCATTCCAATAGTTTATGGTAATATAGCATTCTGGCTTGGAAAAAAGGCAAATGAGTAAGTAAATTGTTGATTAATCTTCAGGTTACTGCCCATTCTTAAGTTTGTTAGCCGTACGAATCATTGATATCAATACGTTGTTAATCAGGTATCAATCTCATAAGTGGACTGTATATGTGCGTGGGGCCACAAACGAGGATCTTGGTGCAGTAATAAAGCGTGCCGTTTTTCAGCTTCATTCTAGTTTCAATAATCCTACAAGAGTCATTGAGGCACCTCCTTTTGAGTTATCAGAAGCAGGCTGGGGTGAATTTGAGATTGCCATTACACTGTATTTCCACAGTGATGTGTGCGATAAGCCTTTGAACTTGTGAGTTCTTGTCTATTATGTGCTTCACATTTCAGTAGAAAATGCTTTTAGAAGCCAGAGATTTGGCCAGTTAATTTTGTAGCAAGACATTCTGTGTGTTATTGGAGTACATGGCAAACATGAACTGCTGTAAAATTATGGAAAGGTATGATAGAACCATATATAGTGTGAAACAAGTCCTACTCAGTTTCATATTCGTCTCCTCCCTTAGCACGAAAAATTATGAGCTTCACATTTCAGTAGAAAATGCTTTTAGAAGCCAGAGATTTGGCCAGTTAATTTTGTAGCAAGACATTCTGTGTGTTATTGGAGTACATGGCAAACATGAACTGCTGTAAAATTATGGAAAGGTATGATAGAACCATATATAGTGTGAAACAAGTCCTACTCAGTTTCATATTCGTCTCCTCCCTTTGCATGAAAAATTATGTGCTTCATTTCAGTAGAAAATGCTTTTAGAAGCCAGAGATTTGGCCAGTTAATTTTGTAGCAAGACATTCTGTGTGTTATTGGAGTACATGGCAAACATGAACTGCTGTAAAATTATGGAAAGGTATGATAGAACCATATATAGTGTGAAACAGGTCCTCAGTTTCATATTCGTCTCCTCCCTTAGCACGAAAAAAATGTATACCTATGTTCTGCTTCTCGAACTTGGTGGATTGATTGGCAGCAAAGCATTAGTGGCATATAGCTTCAAACATATGGCCCCCTATCTAACCACTTGTTTGGGAATAATCAATTAGTTGACTGAACATCTAAATTGAGTTGATTTCCAGTTTAATAAGTAAGACTGTGATGGCTGCGGATCTTTTCTTTTGCTGATATTGGAAATATGTGATGATTCAGTGTGTATTTTGGTGGTGATTCAATTGAATGAACTCTAGTCAGTTAGGACCAAAATCATATTGTGCTTCCTTATATAATGAAAAGTTTAAAATTGGTCAAACTTCAGAATTGGTTTTTTGAAGGCTTAAGTTATTTACAGATATCATCATTTGAAGTTGTACCCAGAAGATGAATCTGGCCCCATGTCAATTAAGAAGCCAGTTGTTGTGGAATCATATGATGAGATTGTTTTTCCTGAGCCTTCAGATGGTTTCTTAGCTCGTGTACAGAGTCATCCAGCCGTAAATTTGCCCAGATTACCTGCTGGTTTTACTTTGCCTCCTCCTGGTATGTATTTTAGCTGTCTACTGCCAGTAGTGCTCTTCACCTTGCTTTGGATGGATAAGTTAATTTCTGTTTTCTTACAGTACCAGTGGAAGATGCAAGTAAAAGGAAGAGAGGTGACACTAAAGATCATCCTCTAGCCCAGTGGTTTATGAGTTTCTCTGAAGCAGATGAGCTATTACAGCTTGCTGCAGCTCGTCAGCAGGTCAGGAAAATTTTTATTTTTTATTTTTTCTTATAGAAGAAATTTTAATAGGACGGAATAATATGAGAATGCAAACAAGAGTACATGAACAAACTTTGAGGCCTGTTATGGAAGACTCAAAAATGTGTCTTGGTGGTAATATTTGTTAAATATCACTTTCTTTAATGCTTGTTCACTGGTGGCTAGGCCTAGCTACTTAGAAGGATTTGAACTTTTAATAAACTGGCCTTTGGGGCAGCAAGAATGAAAAAAAGACAACAGGAGGGCACTGTCTCCTGCAATAATGGCTCCTACTGCTACAGAGTAAATTCATTAAATTGGTAAATCAATATCTCATGGAATTCTGTTTTACAGAAAGACTTTTAAATGGGCTGTGCAAAATTTTGATTTTTGGGCAGGGCATTAGTGGACAAGGAAGCATAATTCATATATCTGGTTATCATAAAAGTTTTCACAAATTCCTGATTTCTTAAGTGGTGAATGAGAACAAAAGTTAATGTAGTTGATGAACTCTGTCGTTTCTCACTCAAGCCAATTTTCACAAAGCTAATGAACAACTTTTTTTCTATGAACCAGAAACTAGTCCTTTGAAGCTAACATATAGTGAATGGTTCTTCCCATATATTGCTTTCTCACCCTAAAATTTCTTATTCAATTTTGCTGAACCATTCTCCTTTTTTTCTTTTTTTTCTTTTTTTTTTATTTAACATTGAATTCAAAAAATAAATTGGAATTGATTGTGGTTTCAATCCCAACTTTTTTGCACCGTTGATGGATGCATTTTATGTTGGAATATAAAAGAGCTGTCTCAATTTGCTTTTTTGCATTAGCGGCATGTTTCCTGATTTCACTAAAACCTGATGAGTCGCACAGGAATACTGTTTTGCATAGGGAAGTTTACAGAGCTATTATTTGACAGTTTAGATTCAATGTGTTAGGTGCAAGCTCATATAGCGAAACTCCGACGACAGATAAGCTTGATAGATGGGCAGAATCAACAGTTGAAATCTGCCTCCGACCAGTGAATGTACTTATGCAGAGTTTTGAGACTTCTACTTCACATTGGTTTAGGCTGAAGCACATGATGGCATAGGCATGTAGCAAAGATATTTATTTTCTTAGTAGAGGGTAGTTTTATACCCCTCTCTTTGTACTTTCTTTCCATTTCCCCCACTTTGTGGTTATACATGAGAATGTAGTTTCTGTATCAATAAACAAAATACCGTATCATTTTATTAAATTTCAATAAATATCAAATTTACTCCAGATATCTGTTGTCTAAGTTAAGTGCTTTCAAAAGTGCATTAGATATGTGTATGTTGACTCATTGACTAGTGCTGATTTGTTCTGAGTAATATGCAGGAACTCCAAAGAGGCATGAAACTTCTCTGGTTTTTAGATTTGTGAGCATTAGCTGGATTTCAGAGGTGCCTTCTCAATTCATAAGACTTGTGGTAGTTATGGTGACTGCAAAACCCACACGGGGGATTAGAATTTATGATTTATCATATAAACCCAGATCACCATATTGCCAAGTGAACTGCTGGCTATAATGATGCTAGCTGTAATGAGTGTTTTTTTTAATCATCCTTAGGCTGTTATACATGAAAAGAACTAGGTATTTTGCTATTGGAATAATTTTTAGACTATCTCCTGCCAATGTCTGATATTCCTTTTCCTTATACTCTGTCAGATATTGGGTCATTGATAGCAAGGGTTTGCTGATTAAGTTATTAGTGGCTTTGCAACTACTTTGTTGTGAAATTACCACCTTGATGTTACTTTTAAGCAGTACTTTTTATGTTTGATTTGTGTTTGTATTATGCAGTTCTTTTGGATGTTTCACTCCTGAATACATCTACCTGACAACAATGAGGTACTTAGCTGAATTTGGCTTTGAAACTTCAATGATTATCAGATTTGTTCAGCGTTAATTTTCTTGTGTTGGAACTCCTCTCAAATGAAGTGTATGATGCATGTTAATAAAGCTCTGGACCCTTTCTCAGGTACTTCTATCTGTCCTTTTGATGCTTTATCATGCAAGAAAAATGAAAATGGGCACCTATTCTCGCTTTTGGATGGGCCCTATATATATTGTCATGGTGATTTCAATTCCATAGTCACTCTCATCTTGGTTTAGCAAACCAGGTACAACCCTATCCTTTATTCTTGCAATTGTTTTCAATTCTCTTGAAGCGGACCCAGCTAAATAATATTCTCCTCTCCTAAACTGCATATAAGTCCATCTCTATCTAGGCTTCTTGTAGTCAAGGGCCTAATCTAATTATTAATTCTTGCTCAGTTGTCTTTTTAGTTGGTTATTTCATATTTGAACTCCTTAGCTTTCAACAATCAACATCTGTGTGATAATTTTAGTTGGGTATTACATGCCAGTCTGTGTTATTGGGCCCTTTGTTTCTGACTACTTTCCTTACAACCCATGTGACTGTAATTAGTTCTGGGTGTTTACCTTTCCATTGTATGACCATCAGTTTCGTGACTGTATAGTACATAAACAAAGACAACAAGGTAGAACTTTTCAACTGTTGTTTTTGTGAACCAGATTCATTATTTTAGGTAAAATTTCTACTGAAGAACCATACTGAGCATGTACCTTGACATGATCATTCGAGTTTATAATTGCATTTTCAGGAAATTTATCAGAGTTAATTGTTTTTCGATTTTCACATCCTGATGGCATAAACTGCTGTAATGTCATTCAGTTCTTATGTTACTTGCTATCAGACGCCAATAACATTTGGATCTTTAGATGAACAATGTCATCTCGTATAGATATTGCTTTTATTGTCATGACTCTAGGTCTTGCCAAATTTCTAGCAATAGCTAGTACAGAGGACTCATGCAACTAATAAAGGAATTTACGAAATTTGGGTTTGTTCATAAAAGATTCCAAGTGGGCTCGAGGCAGTTACAGTTGAGACGCGGTCTGCTTGGTAAAATAGCCGTTTGCAGTAGTTGAAATGATGTTAAAAGGCCTTGGCATGTTGTCTTTACAGGAGAGTTAGGGGGCAAGAGTAACATGGCCTTCATGTGCTGCAAAAAAGGCAAGGTCATTATCAACTATAAATAAAATACCTTGGTCTCTTCGTTTAGCGGGGCACCGCATTTCAGTGAGAATGGTGGGCCTTTGCAGTCTTCTATTTTCTTTGTCCATTCTCTCAATCAATCTCATTCACGGAACATGCGAGAGCTTCTGTAAAGACGGCGACCTAAGGGTAATTTTCTCCCTTCTCTTACGTGGTTTTAGCTGTACAACAATTTTTCATCTCACTGTCATACATTATATTTGTACAGTATGTGTCACAGACGTGGTATGCATATACTGTGTACATCTATTATTTGTATGTGGGTATGTTTGCTATTTATCAAGTGGCCCATTTAAAAGAATCTTTTTCAATCTGGTTAGATCTTCACATTACTCATGGACAGTGGTAAATATGTCATTAGCTATTACATTTTACTTCCGTCTTTTGGTTAAACTTTTTTGGGTGACCTTTTCTAAGCTTATATGGTTCTAAGTATGGATCTGAACAAACTGATCGATGGATAAAGTTCTGGTTGGTGAATTGAGAGTTGACACTGTCATGGACATTTGGGAGGTTGAGAAAAACAAAAGGAGAATGACAGAAATGCTAGACATTGCCATATCAGGCATTAATTTAGTTTTTGCAAATCGCTTTCTGAGCCTTGGAGCATGGAGATATCACTTTTCTGAAATGGAGCCAGGCTAAGAAGAAAACAGTGGTACACATTTTATGTAGATTTAATCTCTCCTATTTTGGTGATGATGGTTTGAGCTGGACCACATAGGAAGCCTTTTAGTCTCGATAAATTAACCTTTTTTTTTCCTTTTCCAGAAGCATTAAGCTTCTGCTCTGGATAATCTGATCGATAGGTTTGCAAATTTAACAAACAAACAAAAAAAAGAGCACAAATGCACGATTACTTGCATTATTATTAGGTCTTTTAGAGCCCACCTTGGCTTCTTCATTTCCTTAGTGAAAATCGTGATTATTATGGAAGACAAGCTTAAGTATGCATGTTGGCTGTTGAGAAACAAAAACTTATGTCCTGCTACATTAGCATCTAGCAGATATGATCAAACAACAGTTCTACTTTCAGTTTCACTGCAGTTTCATGCCTGTCAAATCCTTTCATTGCAAGTGTATAGAATTCAGATAAGCCAGTTGTCCATGCCATTATCCATGAAAGTTCAGCTAATATAGCATTCTCATGTATGGATATTAGATTAATGATTACATTGAACACACAGGAATAATCTGTTCGATTTTTTTCATTTTTGGCCCAACAATTTTCAAAAATAGTTGCGCATCGTACTTTGGTCCTTTACTTTAGGACAAATCTAAGCTAAGAGGACTTATCTATTCAAAAGCTTTAGGTATTGTTTATCAGAAAAGAAGAGCGGCCTTAGGTGTTGAAAACATGAGACTTTTCAAGGGCTTTCCGTATTGATGTTTACATGTTATGATAGAATAAACTAGATTATCTACGAACAAGTAGGACATGTTAGACTTTAGGGCTTAAGCTTAGGATATTCTAAGTAGGTGTCACAATGGGAAGGTAAAGGCGTTAAGGTCAAAAACCTGCGAAGCTAGCAGTAATATACACATGGGTTTGCGAATATTTGGACGTGCGTACTGTGTAAGAAATGTTGTTTTATCTGTCACTCAGTCCATAGAATCACAAGCCATACAACCACAAGAAACCAAATCGTCAACAGGCTTGTACTCTCCAGTACACCTATTGTGGGTCCGTATTTTCAGGTATAGGAGGGAGGGAGAGAGAGATTAGTAAACAATGCAGGAAAATGAAGTTTAAATAAACAGAGACGTTCTGTATGCAGGGAAAACGATCGTAGGTAGATATTGGAATTGAGTAGCCCTATTCTCGATACATTATCTTGTCTTGAGTGAACTAAGGACATGAGACCAACAAGGGTTGTGAACAAGTTAGTTGGGAAGTTGGAGACCTTTCAAAGTTGATATATTTGAGTTCTCACCATAGATGGAAATGAAAACTACGAGGCAAAATGAGCTTGGTTTTTGTGGTTGAAAGAGTGTAAAAGACTGTGAGTTGAAAGGGTAGCTAGCATGAAGGACTCAGCTTAACCATGATTGAACATGCACTGACTAACACTACGAAAATAAGAGACAGCATGAGGAGATTTTAACATCGTCTGTGTAGATCCAAAGCAAGTTTGTTTTTTTTTTTTTTTTTTCCTGAACAAGGCAAGTTGAAAATTAAAGCTGAGAGCGAGAGGGGGTCCATAGTGTCGCCAACATAGAAGTGCAAACCCAATAGGCTTGGCTCCCACCATGTCCTCGCTTCACATACACATACCCCAAAACACCCGTGGTATGTCCTTTGGCCCCACACTCCGCATGACCCCTCTCTCCCTATCTATCTCAAACCACCTCTCTCTCTCTCTCTCTCTCTCTTAGCTTCTTCATAAATACGCCCATTACCCCCTCAATCCTCCCATCACTACCGTAACCTTTTACTACTCCCTCTAATCTCTCTTACAACTTACCCTTTCTCAAACTCCAAATGGCCATTAGAAAATCAAACAAACTACCTCAAACAGCAGTCATCAAGCAAATTCTCAAAAGATGCTCAAGCTTAGGTAAGAAACATGGCTATGATTCTGATGGCCTTCCACTTGACGTGCCAAAAGGTCACTTTGCAGTGTATGTTGGTGAAAACAGAAGTAGATACATTGTTCCAATCTCGTTCTTGAGCCACCCTGAGTTTCAATTCTTGCTTCAACGAGCAGAAGAAGAATTTGGCTTTGATCATGATATGGGCCTTACTATCCCCTGTGAAGAAGTAGTATTTCGATCTCTAACGTCAATGCTCAGATGAAAATCAAGATGATCAGTGGTGTGATGGTGGGGGTGCATGTTTGCTTGGAGAAAGATGGCTTAAGATGAAGCTACCCTATATTTAGCTTCTCTTTTTTAACATCTTCTCCATTGTGATTCGTGATCTTGTTTATCATTTTATTTTATTTTTTCATGTATTTTCTCTTTTAGACCCTGCTGGGTTTTTTTG